ACATCATCTTAGCCTAGATAATCCTAACACTGATGAAGACTTGGCGCAAAGTTAAACAGTTAAAAGTTATCAAGAGAGATGCCCAACCATTAAATATTAATCTAAATAATACTTTAAAATATTTTTAAGCAACTGAGCGTGAGATGGTGCTTGGAACATTAAACCAGCTGTGGATAAGAGATGTGTATTTTTAAAAACAAACTTATGTACAAAAACAATGGGTGTCATTAGAAAAATTCATATTTTATCCAAGATAACCTCACTCTTTTCTTTAAATTAATCTCCCTAGAAAGTTATGAAAGACATACTGAAACATCTAAAGAATATTCTTCTTCTCCTAATAATAATATTTTCCTCCACTTCAGCACAATTGCCCAATACTACCTTGGATACCTGTCCTTGCTGCTGTCAGGTCAGATAACAGCCATGGGGTTTTTTTTCCATTTTTAACCAGCTGATTGTGCACTTCAGGTGAAAAATTCTCTTTCTTTAATATAAAAGGCATATTTAAGACCAACCACACCTTTGTGTTGCTCCAGACTTAAAAATGTAGACAATTTCTCTATCCTTAACATAATTTCAGTGATTTTGCTAAATACCCAGTAAAACATTTTGGAAGGTGTCCTGTTTCTTTCCTATTTGGCTAAACAGGACAAGATGACAACTCTAATTATTCCTTCATGAGTTTTACAGAAGTCAGAACCCAACAATAAATGTCACAAGAAAGGATTTCCTGAGATACAGGGAGATTCTTCAGCTCTCACGCAAGAGATTTCCACTTTGCTATGGAAGCATGAATAATAATTATTTTAAAATGGAATAAACACTATTAAAGAAAAGAACCAATAGAAAAGGCTTATTTATGCATTCAGATTGGCATCTAATCTCAGAAAGTATGTCCACAGTTCAGCAAGTAACATCATCCTGCTATGATAATACATCAACTATTTCCCAGTATGTTATCACCAGTAGGAAAATGAAATTTAATAGACTTCAGCTCTCTTACTAATCTTGCATCTCTTTTTTTTTCCCCACTCATAGTACTTAAGCAACTATTTATAGCAAAAAAGGCTGTGACAGTGCTCATAGTGATCTATTTTTAATTTTTTTTTTTTAAAAAAAAGGATAAGCTACTGCCATTTCAATATTAAGATCTCAAAGAGTTCACTGAAAGTGTTCCACCCATGACAATTTATGAAAATCTGCTTCAAATGAAGGTGAGAACACACTTGACTTCTGTGAAGCATCCCTGCATGAAGCCCTGGTTCCACCACGACCATTGTGCCTTGGTACCACAGCTCACCCCGAGAGACCTGCTCTCAGAAGGTGCCTAACTGACATGGATATGGGGGGGAAAAAAGCAAATTCATTAACTTTTCTGTCAAATTTGCCTGCCTAAGAGCCCTTACTGAAAAGTTTGGGCACGTGCTCTTTCAAACAGTTGGGCTTGTGGAAAACGATTCCCAGGTATTTTGAACTAAACAGGATGTAATTAGAATGTGGAAGAGGGGGGGGAGAAAAAAAAAAGGGAGTGGGTGTAAAAAAACCAAACAACCTTTTTTCCTGTGCTGACGGTGCCATAAAGCCTGACTGCAGATACTGCAACCATTTCAAAGGCAGGAAAGGCTGAGTGAGGCCTTCGCTGTGGTGTCCACTGGCTTTGAAGTGCCGAGAGCAGCTGCTCCCAGCAGATAGGAACTGTGGTGCTCTGGAGTTATTTTTTTTTTCTTCAAAATATACTTTCAAATCTAACAGCTGCGAGTAGAACAAAGTTGAGCTAAAGTATATTTAAAGAAAAAGAAAAAAAAAAAAACCACCAGTTTCTCTCTAAGAGTGTTCTCAGTGGATACTTCAAAAGAAAGTGGCATTGAATCAGACGGAGCTGGGAACCAGGAGTGACACGTGACAGCTGAAACCAAATACTGCAAGATCCAAAATTTCTCCTTTATTAGTGGATTCCAGTGCATTTGAAAAGTTAACAAAATTTTAACTGACATGGTTTTGTGTGTGTTCTCCCCTACTTCTTTTTCAAGGAAAAAAATAATTTTCAAAATCATCAATACATACATAGCAGGTTATTTATTGCTATAAATATCAATAGATCAGGATGTCTATCTGCAGGCAGAGGAATCTTTCAGCCCTGCAATCAACAGTTCATGTTCACACCAGTAGTCTCTGCAAGCAATATTCAAGGAGACTCCTGTGAAGCACAGGCAACCATTCATATAAAGCAGAGATGTAAAACCACAGCTCTCGAGTTCCTACACTTCCAAGATGTTTCTCAGATTGGAGAACTGGATAACACATCAGTTCATTCAATTCTTCATTACCAACTTGATTAAATTTATGGGCAACTCAATTGTCCCATACGCTGTCAGTGCTCTCTGCTGCTCACCATGCCAGCCTGTGCCAAATATATCTGAAGGTCAATTTTCCTTCCCTTTCTGTATAAATTCCATTTGACAATTAGATTCAGACACTTGAGGCAAAACATCTCAAAGCAATTACTGCATTTCTCAGGTAGCTAAAGTATCTGGTTTTTTGGTTGGGTGTCTATTTCCCAAGTGAAAGTCTGCTAGAGCCCTGCTGAAGCACACCACCACTCCTAATTTACTCCACCATTTAAAGTTTCAATCAGTCTATTCCTCTCTAAGTAACAACCAAAGAAATATGCAGTGAAACAAGGCAAAGGTAAAGCCTGCTTTAAAAATGGCTTAGAACTTCTGAAGGATAAATAGACAGTAATACAGAGAAACAGAATTTGGATCTACTAAAAGGAAATTTTAAGAGTGGAAGAACTGAGCTCATGCTGCTCTGCAGCCGGGCTGAAGGAGCTTTGAAATGACAAGACAAAAAGACCATCATTTCCAATGATCACCCACTGCAATCTGCAGGAAGGAACACATTTTTCATATTCACAAGCTTTCAAAGAACATTCCAAATGAAGTACGAAGAGAAATAAATGTTTTTTAAAGGGCATAAACAGGATTCCTCTGAAAACTGTTCTGAGGCTCTCATTGTTTAGCTGTTTAGTGCTGAAACTCTTTCCTTGGGTTTCAGCGACGTTTCAAAACATCTAGCTGTTCTTTCATACAGTAAAAAGTAGCTATCCTAAAGAAAATAAAAGTGAGGCAGTAAACATCTCCTCTTAGTGGGAAACGCTTTCACTGATGGTTACCGCAGCATCAACGTTGTTATAGAATAAAAATGTAAAAAGATTCACAAAAAAAAAGTTCTAACTATCCCATTCATTTCTTATTTTGTGGGTTTTTTTTGATCCAATCTCCAGAAGGTCTGAATATAATAGGCATGACAATACAAGAAAACAAATAAAAAACAATGCCTGACACTAGTAGGCGTTATAATTTGCCTAGTGTTTTTCAGGCAAAAACTAGTGGGTTTATCTTTGCGTGCAAAACCAGCCAAATATTTGGCAGAAATTTTATCTATGGCTTGGCAGCTCTTACTGTGTATGTTGGAAGAAAAAATATCATTTGTAGGTAGGAACAGGAATGTGATACATCTGACAAACAGCAGAGTAGTATTTATCGCTATAGCTCATGTTCCTCAACCTGGGAGCAAAATCTTTGAATAAATGCTTACTCTGGACTGTAAAGATGCACCACAAATCTTGATAATTGTAACAAAGAAAGTGAACCAACTATACCATTAAAATGATATGAACATAAGATGCAGTTAAAAAATTCCACCTTGAGGTGGATGCCCAAGTAACCCCAACACTTGCCATCAGCCTGCCTTCAGGGTGTCCTTTAATGACAAGTCAAACTTCCCCACCTTTAATGCAAGCATGAAAGCAAAACGTCTCTGCTACCCAGACTACTCCTGAACCATTAACCAGAAGAATCACACACAATACCACCCAGCCACACAAAACCCCTGCGTAGGCACATCTCACTGCTGCACAGGACAGCTCCTCACGCTCTGGCAGGTGGCAACCCAATTAGTAATGTTGACAATTCTGAGTGAGGATAAGGAAAATGCTTTGATCTGAACCAACAAACTCCCTTCTATTCAGCAGCCCATGCACAAAACACACTATTGTTCCTCCCAAGCACAGGTGAAGGTCTCTCTCAACACCTACCAAAGTGATCTTGCTTCTTAATTACTGGAAAAAGCCCCTTCTAGATGGACCAGAGCAGGTCTCGTACCACAGCCAACTGCAGTATTTCATCTCCTTACCAGCATAGAAGATAAACAGAAATGAAACCACATTTCCCTCGTGGAACACAGGGTAGTATTTTGCATATATCCACGCAAAAACATTGATAAGAGACAGCTTTAAGCTTCTGGACTAACTGCAGCATTGTTATCAAGTAACAAACTTCTTAAATCCTTGAAGTGGTGTCACCAAACAGATGTCACTTGAGTTTCAGGACCAAGTCCCACCTTACACAAATGTTTGATGGGATGTTCCAGCTGCATAGTTCTCAAGCTGTTATCATGCAAGAATTTGTCTACTTCTATTTCTGTTTTTTCCCTTTACACTTCACAACACCACTGAACTCAAGTTTCTTGTCTCCACCCAAATGTTTCCCGAGTATTTCCCAACCCTGAAATTTTATTACAATAAAGAAAATCACTATCAGTGGGCCAAAACAAGCATTCATATGAACACTCCCCCTGTTGAAAATGATAAAAAGAATAAAAAGCTGTTTCTTGACAAGAAGGAAAACAGACAAAGCATTAAATAATTTCATCTGGCAATTATGAAAATAGGTGTTGCCACCTGTAAGCCTGGGAAACAATTTGAAAGAGTCAGAGGTACAAAGGATTGCAAAGAGGAAACAAAAATATTTTCTGTGTAGGCTCTTTCCCCTTCCATCCCCCATCACATAAACTCTGCATACCTATAAATTTTGCCTTTATACCAAGAACAGCAACACAGAGCAAGAACAGGATTAAGCCTGCCAGAGGACCAACCTACACCTGCATGAAAAGATGTCCCTCCTCCCCTCCACCCAAGGAGCAAACCAACTGACCTGTTGCTCATATCTTTGCTTGAGCTCTTCCAGCTGCCAGGAGAATTCTTTGGATTGCTTTTCCCGGAGTGATTTTGATCTGCTTAGATCTGCTTCAACCTTTTCCATCTACATGGTAAAAGAAAGGGAATATTCAATTTTTTTCTAAAAAGGCATAGCTTGAAATGCTCTGATTTTTCTACAGTTGTTTGCAAACCATCAAAGGGGGAAATATAACCTGCTGAAAATGATAGTAACACTATTTGTAAATAGTGAAAATGAATATTCAGTCACTACAGGACTATTAGTTACTCAAGGACATAGTGATCACTGACATCCTTAATGGATATATCATCCTTATACCACTCCCTGATTACCAAGTATTGGCTCAATTTTTCAGCCAACAGTCATGAACATCCCATCAAAATTAAATGAATAGTTTTTCTAGACATATTTAAGATGCAATATTTCACTCCAAAATATATTGCCTGTGGAAATTCAAAGGAAATCACGTGAGGCAGTGCACAAACTACACATTTAAAGTAAGTTTACATTAAATCAGTAAAATAACTTAAAAAGAGAATTATTTGGCAGCAAGTGAAGTTCTCTGAAGATAGTCATCGCCTATGAATAATGAGTCTCACAGATTCCAGCACACAGCATCAAGGAAGCAATTTCATAACTCAATTAACAAAGGCTTTTGTATCAAAAGCACAACTGTTAGCTGTACATCAGGCATATTTCCAGAGGAATATATATATATATAAAAAAAAAAAAAAATCTACACAATACTATGCTGCAGTGCATACACTCATCAATTACTTTTAGATCTAGGTCCCAACACAATCAGTGAATAAACAGTCTCCCTAAAAAAGAGAGCCAGGGGGTGTAGCTGTCAGGAGCACTGGTGCTGCCACAAGCCCATCTGCTGTACCAAAAGAAGGAACACACGAATTCCTGAAGCACAAGCCAAAATCCTGTTTGGCCTAAGGGAGTGCTCTGTCTTCAACAGATGCCTTTGCCAAGCAGCCTGGACATCACTTCTAAGCCAGAGAGGAGAAAAGGCAGTACTTAGAGCATTTTATTGAAAAATACTGCACCAAGAGAGGAAGACATAAGCCTAGGAATAGCTGGCCAGACAGAAAGCTGAAAAATAGACTAGAAAGGAGTAAGTTATCCTTCCAGTACTCTTGAACCTCACTCCTCCTATCTGCTATAAAGAAAAGGGACTTCAATGAGTATTTTATGAATAACTCCTTCTGCCTGCAAGCTTACTCAAATTGCACGTTCATAGCCATATTTTACTCAGCTCAGTAAAACCCAGAAAAATAAAAGATCTTGTTACTTTATTACAGGACTTTTATTTTTAAGAGAATGAAAACATTCTAAAAAGTGAAATAGTAAAAACATATGCAAAGATTCTTTAATTCTACTGGCTTCTGTGCTTTACTTGTTAGGTCACATTCATTTATTTCCTGCAAATGCAACGAGGGCTCTTGATCATTATTTGCCAAACCCATGAAACACTAGATCTAAAATACCATGACATAGTCATGGTTTCTCTTTTTGCTAGTTATTATTAGAAAGAAAGCAGCTCCTGCACTTAAAAATGTACCACTGGCCCATCAATGGGCATCAGGTGACTCTTAATAATCACAAGCTTGACAAAATAGGAAACAGATGGCAAAAAAAAAAATCACAGAGCCAAACTAATGAATCAAATATTGATTACAAGAATTGAAAACGCCAGACCCCATTCTACTTATCTCCATAATTAACTTTACCACACACTAGAAAATGGGTTTAGAAGCCCAGTATTTCTAGTGCAGCTAGAAGTAGTGTTGCTATAGCTACTACAGGTTTTGTTTTATAAGTAATGCATTCCACCTAACCACAAAAAATAGAAATTTCCAATATGTTACAATTTAACGGGTGATTTATCTGAAGAGTACGTGTGTGCAGGAGAATGAGAGGGGACCAAGCTATGAAGACAGCCTCAGTAGTGTTCCTTTGATGTATTTCCTTGAACCTTTGTTTCTGTAGAACAGAACTGCTCAATCATACAATACCATTTACTATTTATTTTAGCACACAAGTAGGGACACAATAAACTCATGGTTGATGATTGGACTACAGCAAAATTTATTTGCAAGATTTCCAAGAACTCAGCAATATTCTAAAAGAAATTTTCTGTCATTTTTAAATGAAAATTGACTTTAAGTTTTCCAAATTCTTTTGCACATTTTTTTTTTTCTTTTGGATTGGTTCTGTTGGCTGGGATTTTTTTAAGTGACTGAAACTATTAGTCTTTCTAGAATTAGACTATATCCCTTTTGGAGCAGAAGTAAGACACTATTTTAAGTCACCGTGAAGAAGTTAGAGGGGAGTCTCACAGCACAGAAAATGTTGGATTTAAATTGGAGGACTTCTCATATTGCCCTCACAAGTCTAGTTTTCATATTAAACCTTGCTTTTGTGAATTTGTTCTTGCTTTTTTTATTTCCAAATTCTATTATTTGCTGTTTGCATGGGTCTTAAAAATAGCACCAATGCCTTACTTAATTTCTCACATTTGTTGAAAATGTTCTGACAAAATCTTCATGAGAAGAGCAGAAGAAAATTTGTTAAATTTTAAGTTGGCATCCCTTGAAATTCATTAATATATGAGACTGCAGCATCCTATGGTCAACAGCAAGGCTTGGTTACAATAGGTGACGTTGAAAAACTGGGTTTATGGTCAGGTAGAATTACAAGACTGAAATATGTAGAAAGATTTCAGCCCTGTGATCAAGCTAAGGAAGCACTCCCTTCCCTCTCCTTTTTGATCCCATATCACTTGTTCCTTATTTCACTCACTGTGTTGCATCTGCACAATCCCAGGGACAAAGGCTTAACTATCATTTGCTTCAGAAAGAATTTAAGACACTAAAATCTTTTTACATAAATTCCCACCACCAATTTTCAGGGACAGAAAACCAGATTTTTCTGTCCCCTGCCGATGACTGCCAGCAGCCACACCAGCTCTGCCCCTGTTTAGGCTCCAACTGATTACAAGAGCTCATTAGTGGAAGACAGAGTCGTTCTGAAAAGAGTAGGAGGAAACACACATTGAAGTGGAAAATTACCAATGCCGTTCCATAGGGATGTATACACTAACACTTTATACTCTCACTCCTGAAAAATCCCTAATCAGTATCACAACCGCAGATATCTTTATAACAATGACAATTCTGGCTTTGTTAGAAAGATGAAACAACTGCTAACATCCCTTTCTGACTTGCCAGCAAAGACACTACATTGTGGAAGATTTTGATGTAGCACTCTCAAGTGAAGCATGTTTCTGGCATTATAAGATCAGAATATGCTATCCTACTGAGACGGAGTTTCAGAAAGGCTGGCATTGTGACCTTCTCACCTGCTGTTTCATTTCAGCATAGACTTTTTCTGAGTTCAGCTCCACCTGCCGCTTAAACTCCTCCAGGGCAGCATCTGCCTGCTGGGCCTGCAGCCTCTGTACCTCTGTCACCCGAGTCAGCTGCTCCTCCTTCTCCCTAGAAAGTCACAGAAAATTTTCAGAGTTCAAGTATCAAATAAAAGAACAAGTGTGCTAGTGTAAAAGAGAGCCCTTTAACCCTACCCATTTAAAATAGTATTCAGATTTCAATTTCCTGTCCCAGCTTCTGCCAAACTTCCCTTCACAATACTTTGAAGCAGGGAATGGAAGGCCTGAGTTATTTTTGCTTTTCTCTTACTGAATTTCACACGCCTAAACACGGCATCCACAGCTCACAACACCACCCCCAGCAACCTGCGTGGTGCCCTACCCACCCTGTGACCCCTTCTTTAAATCTCACGTTTAAAAGTGTATTGCTCCCTTAATATTGAAATTAATTCCTATTAGCACGATCATCTTCTCCCATTAAAAACAAAAGCACTATCCCAGCACCATCTTTGCTCAGCCAAGATGTGGGATTAGTCACTGCTTGACATACATCAAAATGCAAAGCAGGGTAATGCTTGACATATGGTACCTTCTTAATCTATTAGAAAGCTATAATGCTGTAATATCTAGTCAGCCTTTAAAGGAATGACAGATGTTACAGTTTTATGCAAAGATATTTCATATTAACAGCCTATGCTATTTGACATATTAATGTTGATACATATATAGACCTTGGTTTGGGTTTCTTGAGGCATAACAGCATCTCAACAGTATATCAACAGCAATGCATGTATAACGTCTTAGACACACATATATATCCACCTAAAAACTTGAGGTATCCCCCATATTGACACATCACAGACAAAAAATTTGATCCTTTCTAAATATTTTAAGAAATTTTGATGATTGCTCACCCAGAAGACAATCAGACAGCACTGTTAACCTTTTATGACACGTTTCTGTTATGGGAGGTCAGTGGAGCTGCCCAACTTGGTGTTAAAACACCAGGGAAGAAAATGGTGGTATCAATGGACAAAGCTGGCTCCACCACTGGTTGGTAACATAAGACACATTCAAACAGACCTGTGCTTGACATTTTCATTTTACAGGCAAAGGAAGTACCTCATGATAAATTTCCCATTTTGACAGAAATTATTTCCATATAAAACAAAGAATCTGACACATAAGAGACGGAAAAGACCAGCCAATTCATCTAGTCTGTCACCTTGCCAGCACTGAACTAGCTATTACAGCACTGAGCAAGCCTTTTATAAAGGTCAGGAAGCTGCCAAGCCCCAAGTTACAGTATTCACATCCTCTTCTGTGGTTTTCATACCAGACTTTGACAATAGGACAAAGAATATAATCCTACATCTTCACAAAGTGTCTATTTGCAGTGCAGGAGAGCAGGATAATTCTATTAGCAAAGAGATCAAAGAAATACCACAAGCCCTGAGTAAGTATATTACTGTTTACTTTTATAGTTTTTTCATCATCCATATTTTAAAAAAAAACCAACATTTGATTTCGGTGACTCACAGCTGATGGAATAATTGAGACATAAGGAGACTGCTGTTTTCCTTGCAGAAAAAGGAAATATCCTTCTTGCCCAGCAGAAACTGGAGCAAAACACAACAAAATCCTGTATCACATTTTTTGTGGTAATTGTTTAAGAGTTTTGGGTTTCTGTTCACAGAAGATCATGTGTAAAATCTTCTTCAAATTTGCTCGAGAGCATCCGTCATCCCTATGCAGACGTTTTATTTGGCAGTTCCATTTTGTAAATTCCTTTGAGAGGGAAGCATATCTGTATATTAATCTAAGTTACTATATTCTCCACTCATTTATAAGGCAATGAAAATCGCACAGCAAAACACACCACCAAAATCAACATTTTTTCCCTGTCTAAATTTAACTGGCAAAAAGACCATTAAGGTTTTAAATTTATAGTACAAAGGATCCAAAAGATCAAAATTACAAGTCCAAAAACGCTCAGGCTCTTCTCAGAATGGATGCAGCAATGATGCATCCAGAGCTAAAAATGATATGAACTCTCTGATGAGCTAGTTATGCATCAGCTCTCGATGCAAAGGCATTTGGCTCAATTATCCCCCTGAAACCCAAGTTCTAGGGAGCTGCTGAATACAGGAATTTTTAAGTTAATAGCTGTTTGAAATTGAATTATGGTGAACACATCAGTCCCTTCTCCCACGACAAAATCTACTAGCAGTTCACAAGAAAGAATATGGAAGAGGCTGAACTGTTGTCCAAGACCTACTTACAGCTCAACGCCCTGAAAGAGAAGATAGGAGTGGGCAGCAGCATGGTCACCAGCAGAGCACTATCCATCTGTGTTATCTTGGAGGAAGCACTGAGAGGGGGAACCCTCAACATCTCCTACCAAAGATCCTCAAGGCACTGAGTAACAAATCTCCCTCCCTGAAAAATACATCTAATACTTCTACTCCACACTGGAAACAAAACCCAGAACTGAAGCTTATTCAAATATATTCACACTCATAAGTGTCAAGCAACACCAGAACGATATTTTTGGTCCATGCAGATAGAAATGCAACAAAATTACATATAAAAGGACAAGTTGTCAGTCCTTGTGTTTTTAGTGAGCCTCCAAATTTATGCATCTTCTTCCTGAGGAATATATTTTTATTTTGAAATATTATGATGTAAACTTTTAGGAATCTGGTTTTATGCACCTTCTTTTCTGTTGAGGACTTAATCCCATGAATAGATGCAACATCTCATTACAATCAGGACTAAAACTTCATTTTTAAGGGTGCTGGAGCTAGCGCTCTCTACTTTTTGTGCAGTTCAGAGGCTTAGAAAACACACACAACAATGGATCCTGGTTCACAAATATCAGAAAAGCTTTACTTTTTTTTTTTCCCAAGACACTGAGCAATGTGCCTTGCATGAAGCACTAAAATATTCACTTTGAAGATTATTTTTTTTCAGTTGGACTAGTTGTGGGGCCGAATACAATGCAATTATATCACTTAAATCCCCTAAAGCTGAGCCGGCTTGAATTTAAAAATAGGGTGAATTTACTCTTTGGCCCCAATTTAAAAAACAGCAAATTCCTCTTGTTTCACTCTATAAAGGATACGGCAACAGAATTAGCAATCTTAACACAGCACAGACCATCTCACTGAAAGTTGACTGTGAAGTCCAGAATTGCAATTTCAGAAAGCAGCACTCTGAAGTGTACTGATAAATGGAAAATATAAACATCTTACATACTTCCTCTTCATGCTTAATCAGAAATATTTTCCTTGCTTCGTAAAATGCCTTCGAAGAGGTAACAGCAGAACACAGGCACTACAGCATTGCAAGTCAAGCTGCTGAAACACAGGGCAATCCAGTGATTTACAGGAGAGGTTAAACAAGCTCCCAACGTCCCAGCAAACGTGGGAAGAACCAGCATTGTCACTTTTGGGACAATGTCGCTCAACCAGTATGAAGGCAAGGGCTGGCCAACAGCGAGCAGGAGATGCATCTGTCTGAGTCTCAACCTCTTCAACAAGTTAAAAGGTGCTAGGCTGCACAGAAGCATGCACTCACACGTGCAAAATGAGGACCTACACGTGGACAACTTCTGTGGACAGTGAGTTTCACATCCCATTAACAAATCTGCACACAAGTGTCCTATGCGTAATTTAGAGAGACTTTCAGTAATATGAAAAATTACTAGATTGGGAAACTCCTGGTGTTTTCTCATAAAATTTATATCATGCTTTAAGTCATGAATAAGCAAATTCCTTGCCAGGTTTCCCAGTACTGCTGGCAGCAGTGTAAACCCACTCGTGCCCACACAAATCGTCGTTTCTCAATTCTATAGGAGCACAAAAGCAGAGCAAGGAATTTCTATGGGAAGGATACATTTTGCCACTGAATAAGTTTCTGAAACTTAGATTCTGATGGACTCCACAAGAGGGAGAAGCTTCATCTCTTGTCTAAGTCAGTCACAGGTTGGTATGACTCTGGGTTTATGACTGTAGATGAGAATTAATCTTGGTCTGTAAGGCTGAAGTATGTAAAAGGCAGAAGAACCACAGAGCCTTCAGTCCCACTAATAAAGCCAAGATCTTCGAAAGGTCTTGAAATGTTTGGAAAGGCCAGGCTCTCCTCCTGATTACCCTGATCATCCAACACCACATATGTGCACTGATCCTGTGTATTTAGTTCTGCTGTACATTACCCATTCCTTCCTCTCCTCCCCTAATATTAATACCTCTGAGGGAAAATTGCTTCACTGCCAATCAATCTGCAAACCATGCACTTGCTGGAAGGCAGCTGAAGAGGGATATTGCTGGGTTTGTGTCTGGACAGCTTCCCTTTTTATTTGTTGACACAAGAAACAAGAAAAAAAATTAATCATACTAAACTGTGTTGAAACCAGGTTTCACTGATTTAAAAAATGATCAATTATCAGATTTAAAAACAGCTATAGAAACACATGTTCTCAGAGGAGAATACAACTGGCTAGACAACATAATCCACAGCATACCAAGTAGCTAAAAACACAGCCTTCATCAAAACATACACAATCTTCCCATGCAAAAGGAAAACTATCTTCTGTGGACAAGCTACAGACACGAGCACCCATCCAGTATTCTGATGTACATCCGAGATTTTCTATGTGGAAATGTAAATGAATCACAATCCTGATCCCAATCCCAGAGAAGTGGGTGCCCTGATACCAGCAGGACTCCACAGGAGTGCAGCAGTTTATCAGTTTATAGCCAAATACAAGACCCATGACACCATTTTTTAGCTGGGCGTGATAACCACTAAAAAAAACCCAACAAACCACCCTCCACACAACAGTCACTCCAATTTAATTTCTGGAACACAGTCTCTTTCAATTACACAAATAATGTATTATGGTTTAAACTACCATGTATTTGTAGACAGAATGGGTACTGGTTTTGTTTGTTCCAGGAAAATGCTTCAGGGGTAATATTCAGGGGTAATATTGAATTCCCTGAAATAAACAAAAACCAATTTTAGTTTTCCCACTTTTATTATTTTTCAGCAAATAGTGATTGTTCAGTAACAGCTTTCTGTGTAAAGTACACAGAGGGGCTAAAT